GTGTGTGTGTGTGTGTGTGTGTTTGTGTGTGTGTGTGCGCGCGCGCTCGCGCAGATGTATGTAAGTATGCGTGAGTGTGTTTGTATGGTGTGCGCTTGCATTTCAGTTGAGCCATTTAAAACTACTAATCTTTTGCAGCCTGCCCATTTGTGTATCCTGAGTGACTCAGAAAGACCAAGATAGTGAATTGAAATTCTGCCCACACGGGAATCGAACTTAAATCTTCTGTGAGCGACGATGAAGAACCAAATCTATAGGCTCTGCACTACAGACTTTGAGCTTAAAAAACTGTCTCCTAATTTGTTCGCCGATGCTACCGGACGATGCATTTACCTGTATACTGGAGGCCCCTCGGTGGTCCTTTGGCGACAGCTGTACAAACGATACAGGCAATTTCACACCAAAGTCTTCGTTATTCCAGACCTAAAAAGAAAAGAGTACGGTTCGTTTCAGAAGATGCTTACATTAACAAACAAACAAAATCTGAGCATCAGATTATTTGCGTAGTTGACAAAGGAAGGTAAGTAGCAACGATGTTGAGCTAAGTGATGCGGAAACATAATATGTTTGATGTGAACAAAATTGCGAAAGTGTACAATTCTATTTTTATCACTCCTTTCGTCACAGCAAAGTACATGTATTTAATTAAGAGGCAGGACTTCATAATTTAACATCCATCTCTGAAATGACCGAACTAAGTGGGCGGGGAGTTTTAAAAGCTCTCCAAAACAATCCAAGTTCAGAACGGCCCTTTGGGGATTTGACCCAGGACCATCCTCTCTGTTGTCCAGCTTGATACCAACTGAGCTAACGGCACACCAACGTATTTGATCACGAATTTTTACCTTGTGCCTTACAGTTGGACAATAAAAATGAATGTGGAATGAACGAGTTAAGGTTGTTTTGGTTGCCATTAAAAAACTGACAAAAGGGATCAGGTAAGGGTCTTTTACTGCGTAGTCACTAACGTCATTTTATCAGAGAGTATTCTAATTGGCGTCCCGTTAGCTCAGTTGGTATCTTGTTGGACTACAGAGGGGATGGTCCTGGTTCAAATCCCCATTGAGGTGTTTTTAACTCGAGTTGTATTAGGGAGCTTTTCAGATTACTGCTATCCACCCATTTGGTTCGGCCTTACTGGACATTGGGCGTTAAATTTGGAGGTCCTTCCTCTTAAATAACCCGATAGGTTCGATAGGCGCTTTGAACCCATACACTTACGCTTACTAAAATTGAATGTCTGGTGCCCTTTCCAAAATTATATTATTTTTAAAAGCTTTCTTGACCCGAACATCCCTTGCTAAGGTGAAAATATATACCCTTCTACAAGAAGACTTTTGGTATAATGTTGGCTTATGCATAAAAGAAACACGGTGGTAGGCTTAAAGCAATATAGTGCTCTCGATTAATGATACTAATGTCCATTGCCAAAAAAGCTATAAAGCTAAAAACGAGTTACTGTTCAAACGATTTTCAATAATTGTTTTAAAGAAACAGAGTAAAAAATGAGTAGTTGATTTGGAATTTTGGTCAGTGATAGGCGATAGCAGTAACATTTTGATATGAGGAGAAGAATGTGATAGAATGAGAGAGAGAGAGAGAGAGAGAGAGAGAGAGTGTGTGTGTGTGTGTGTGTGTGTGTGTGTGTGTGTGTGTGTGTGTGTGTGTGTGTGTTTGTAAGAGGAGAGGGCGGCTCCAATTGATCTAGTGCCTGACTTTATTAAGTATTAGCTGCCAGATACTTTACAATCAGGTCAAGATTCTTTGTGTTTGTTTGGGTATATATTCAGGGTTCTACAATGTATAAAATTGTAACTACTAATAAAAAAAGCGGTCAACACTGTTGAAACAAAGTTCAGAATTTGTAACGGGTTATAGTAACGTTGTTTAGTTATATTACTTAATTATCAGATATTTTTTAAAAACAACTACTTAGTTTAACCTTGTGTAGATAAGTTAACTTTTTATATGCTCTGTGTTTATTCAGAGTTGCTATGTAATCTATATGCTGTTGCTACTTTAGAATTACAAAGTTCTATCTGAAATTTCTGGCCGTTTTGAGTTATTATTTATAAGACAATGAGGTCAGAAACCAAATGTTCTGGCTGCTCTTTCAAAATTGCAAGATTTTTAGGAGTCGTTATCGAGATATTTAAAACATTGCATTCGAAAAAGCTTGACATGCTGTTAAACTCAAACTTTTTAACGTCGAATTTCTCACAACTAGGTACTGAGCAGGTAGAGCTTTGTGATTCTAGGATAG